AGGTCCGAATCTTACAATCATCATTTAATGGTTCACCCCTGGTGTAAAATTTACCATATAAAATTGCACAATCATGTGTAAGATCCAATGGGCTACAATGAGTCCAAACTGTGAAGTTTAATGGTTTAAATTACTCAAATTAACTATATAATAAGATCATTTATCTTCAACTAAAAATTCCTAGGATCTCTACTCACTAAGCTCTAGCCATGGATACAGGCTCAATGAGGGGTCACTTGTGATAGCTCAGCTACATGCATTATTATATAATCATGATAAATATTAATAAACATAAAGTATGATAAACTACTTGAATATTTGTCTTACCATTTATCCCTTTAGGAGGCTCGATTAGTTTTATAAAAGTCCAATAGATTGTCTGGAAGAATTATTAGATTAGAAATGAGCACACTGCTGCCGGGTAGTAGCATGCTGTGTTACTGATGGCCAGATATGAATGAACTATTCTTTGACTGCATACATAAAGCTGGACGGATTAGAACACCATTCCTACGTCATGCACAAAAAACTTCCACGTCAATGGCTGAACCGTTCACCTAATGATATGCGTGGCTAATTACATATTCAATTTTCCAGGGCTTTATAGATCCCTGTAAATGGCTAAACTGCTCAACTAGAACTAACGATATGCATGACTGATTATAATATTTATATTTTGTAGTGCTAGATTCATAATGGGGATGTAGTTTAAGCCTGTTCATTACACTGAGATTTTTCATTTTCATTCCTACATACAATAGACTAAATTTATCCCGGTAAGCATAATACAATGATAATGATTGGCTGAATGCCAGCTATATAATTTATTACATAAAAAACATTATAATGATTTATACATTCAAGAAGACACCAAATATCAGAATAAAAATAAGCTAACTGGGGTGACATTTAGTAGTTGTATACTGTATTCTGCATATGCATGTTTATTTCTTGAGTGGAATTTCATGTTCAACAATTCATTACCACTCACGTTTTGTCTACCATAGATAATGTATTTCCTGGTATTAAAAGGAATGGCATCACATGCAATGTAAATTATTCTATTAAAGGTCAAGTGTCATGTTCAATTCCTACTTTTACTGTTCTAATTATTCTTTCTCTTATTCATATTCGAGAAACCCTTCATTTAAAATATACACTATGATTGGAAGAGATGTATATGTTTAATATTAGGCCAAGAAAAATTTATTGTTATTTTCACATCTGGGATTTGAAAATGTTTTTTCGGTGAGAGGATTTATTATTTGCTATTTTGTCAACAACCAAAACATTGGTCAACAACACAGTAAATAATAGTTTATTAAAAAGCAGCACAAAAAATAAAAATAAACATTGTAGGGTACAGTAGTCTCTAAATCCAGTCACTGACAGACTGCAGTCAGAGAGTAATATGGATGCATCAAAATGTTGTTTTCATTTTCATCAACATAAACCATAGTTTTTCACTTTCAAAAAACAATAGCAAAAAGTAGAAAATCCATGAGGTCCCAAAATTTGATGAGGGCAGTGACATAAAACTAGTGATTAATTTTATGATTATGATAGACAATCACTTGAAAATACAGTAGTTATGATTTTGTACATTAAAAGTTGTTGCATTGTTTATTACTTCCATTCTATGAATGATGACATTTAAAATTTTTTTTAAAAACTAAGCTAACTTAGTATCATTCATGATTACAAAATTTAGATGTTATTTAACACATAGTTCTTTTGGTGTAAGCACACCCCTTAATCACAAAGTTGGGTCAAGTTTGGGAGGAAGGTTTGGCTTTCATGATGACAAAAAAATACATAAAAATATACAAATCAGAATTCAGGATGTTACTAAACTTATATCAGGGGTTGGCTTACAGCCAAAGGACAAATTCTGGGGAAAAACATGTTGCAGCTTCAACCATGAAAATTATAAAATATGTGGCCCAATAGTGGTTGTGAGGATTTTTTCTAAAAATACCTTAAGGGAGGCATGCGCGAAGCCTCATGATAATTGAGGCACATTTTTTAGTTCTACGAAGACCTACGGTAATGTTTATTGCTTCCTTATTATTCAAGTGACTATCTTCTTGTAAGATCCTATATACCTGTGGTTACATTGGATCAAGTTTTACCAAGATCAATGCTAACTATATGCGCTCATGAAAATACATTATGTTTTCTAACACCAGTATATAGCACCTGGCTGGAAAACTACTTTTTTTTAAATATTTTCTCAAAATTCTACTGTGCCAGCAAAAGTTGCAATTACAGAACTAATCACCAAGGGTTTTTTTTTTCAGAAATGTATCTTTCCAACTTGTTGCATGCTCTAATTACTTTAATAGGTTTCATAACTGGAAGTGTTCCAGCAAACTCTATAGAAAGTAAATGGATCTTATATAACTATTATACCTATACAATATTGTTGAAATACCTCTCTGAATGGAAAACAAAATTCACATTCAGGTAATACGATCTACCTACCAAACTTACCTTTCATGACTCTGAATTGATTTAAGTTTTGGAGACAGATCTTTCAATGCAACACCAACAAAACAATGCAAACTAAAAAATTGCTTCAGGGAATCTACTTATTATTAACTGTTGAAATAATAATAATGCCATTTCCCCCCTTTTTTCTGGCATTCATTCATAAATAATGCATTACGCTATTGATGACGGTATGCTACAGTAGAACTGTAGTCCTACAATGGGACAAACAAATGGTGTCAAACGTTCGACCAAAATATAATAGGGGCTCATTCCATACTAAAGTGCATTAGATGGTCCTTAATGGCAACTGGTATGCGATTTCAATATCAATGACTTTAGCATTTTTTTAAAAATCCAACAAAAAATCAAATGACTGAACAGCACTCAGTTGTGGTGCCAAAAGTTGGAGCAGACTCTCTTGATTACTCCAAGGAGGCTCCTTGATTACTCTCCTCTGAGATGTGCAGTTCCTTGTCAGGTTGGGAATGTTAACTTTTTCATTAGGAAAACAGTTCAAGGAAAAAGGTTTTCCTCTATGAATTCTACCGTGTGTTTCCAAATGCACTACAATATCGGGGCTCCTACAAATTTAACTCTAAGTGACTTCCAGTTTTCTCCTTTACCAGCGAGCATGGTCTGAGAGTGCCATTTTCAGTCACGTGGTTCAATAATGTGACTAGCAACAAACATCCAGTTCAATCGAAAGTTTAGTTATTTACATTTTAAGTTATGTTCAGAATCAGAGAATATGTACATACAGTCCAATTGACATATTTTTATGTTAATTACTGCTTTTTGAGCAAATGAATGTTGGAAACATCAGCTATTAAAATACACTTTTCTCTAATATTCATGAACCATTAGTCATTGGCAGGTAATATACCGAAAGATTAGCTAAACCTGTTTGCACCTATATGAAATATCTTTATGGATTACATGATTATAAATACGAAATACTGCCTTAAATTATGCCATAGTTTAGGTCTACAGTGTGGCCTAGCCATTATAAGCCCAGGGGCGTAGAGCCCTTTAGGCCGCGAACAAGTTCGGCTACGATGTCAGGGACGCCTATTCGGTAGTTGTTTTCCTTTACACGGCTCAGTGATTATGAACTGAGCATGCGCAGTAAGCATTCGCTTGGCTGCAACAGTGTTTGGTTGAGTTGATTTGCATATCAAAAGCATGCAACACAACGAATCGGCGGGATGGAAGAACAAAAAGCAAATCTCGGGTCGTTTCCAATCTCCTTCTATAGTTGTCTCAGCCATAAGAAATGCTTTTATATACCGGTACTAATATACTAATTATAGATTATATATTCCTTTTTATTTGAAAGAAGCTGGAAATGGCAGAGATAAGATGTCGATATGAGGAGTGACAAGATGAGAGAGAATGAGAAACAAAGACATAATATGCAGGAGGTAAAAGTTGTGAAATTGAGAAAAAAAAAAAAAAAAAAGAGACAGCAGATTGAGGTGGTACAGACACATGAAGAGGAAAGAAGAGGACAATTTGGTAAGATGGGCATTGGAGCACAGAGATATCAAAAAACAACTTGAAGACAGGACGACCTAGGAAGAGATAGATGAATTGTGTTCCAGATGACGGTAGATTGATTGGTTGATTTCAGCAGAGTTGGTAAACAGACAAGACGAAACGACCCAAACCCCCTTGAGGGAACAAACGAAATGATGAGGATGATTGCCTTAATTAATTAAAGGCTATAATTTTAATTAAAGGTTTACCCAGCAGATTACTTGGTATACTATAATTTACCAGAACCAATTATATTTTATTACCGTTTCATTCAAATTTGCAATAATGATTAATTTTTGTTTACATAACTAACATGGTTGACGGGATGTTGGGAATGTCCGGATGAAACTATCCATTATTCATAATACTGTAGGGTTAAGCTCAATCCTCACTATTAAATTGTATGTGACAACTACGTACCTATGATTTTTCCATATACTGGTATGGGTACGATATGACATCATGATGTCAACATATGGATAGAATGACATCATCATCTCGTATATGGATATGATATGAAATCATCGTGCCCATATGGGAAATTTACATAAATTTGCTCAAGATATTGGACAACCAAGTGAATAAAATACTTTTTCTGTTATCAATTCACTATATATTTTGGTTGGCACATATGTCAAAATTTAGCATTTGACCTTATTGCCAAAGCAATCAATGTTCAGCGACAGATTCTCAGACATTAAAAATGACTCACTCTTACATGCATGCTAAAAAGTATGTTATTATCACTAATAAGTTATTCTCCTTACTCTTTTAACATTATTATTCTTTACCGCAATACTATTTATTTATTTTTAATTTAGGTTTATAGGTATTTTGACCAATGCTACACTAATATCTGTATATTTAACAATCTGACTATCAAAAATGATCTACAATAACAACAAATAGCCTACAAAAGCCCAACAATCAAGTTTTATCAAATCTAAATAAATAACCAAAAATGTTCTTACTGTCTAAATGTTCTTGATTATAATACTGGAATCAATGTAACAATCAGACTTCCAATCCAATCTTCTGACTTATACAATATGAACTCAATATGATGACATTATGGAAATGTTTCCTGAATCTGAAACTAAAAGAGAAAATCAACAGTGTTTATACATATAATACACAGAAATTATATCAAAGCTCCATTAATTTCTAATATTTTTATAATAATTAATATTTCTATAGTTTACAATAATAACAATTTGAAGATTTACAAGTGCTCTATACACAGAATCATGAAAGGTATTAACTTCTGATTGAAATTTTGGGCCTGCCAAATTTCACTGTTCCAAAAATAGGGTATAGTGGTTGAAAAGAGGGCATGGTGATTACTTGATCAGATATGAAGATCAGGAACCACTAAGTTGATAAAAGGTTATGAGGTCCCAAATGAGTGGTGTTTGGGAGGCATTTTGTACTGCAAAATTTTAAAATTCATACTTATCATTTATGACTTGAGTTTATTAAATTCAAGTCAAACATATATGTCGCAAGACAAGCCAAACCAGTCACTCGTCGCAAATCCTGTTTCAGAGATAATGGCAAAAACATGCTGGCATGTCAAAGTTTTTGAAATCCATTTTATTGCACTAAACTATATATTTATATATTATTGTGCTATGCTGATATTTTCTCAATTTTCAAAGTTAAAACAACAATTTTAAAGGATTTGGTAATAGTTTCTGCCTGAGAAATGTCCGAAATCATAAACTTTGAAGGCCGATTTCTCAAATATTATTCTTTAATCAGCTGTATGTTTAAACTCTTATAACTTCATAACAAAATGTCAGATTTTTGCAACAAGTGACTGGTTTGGCTTTAGACCGGTCGTATATGAGGTGTAGGTGTCACTTTTTGCAGAATTTACCAGACCAACTTTTTCTAATGTATTTTTTGACGTAGATTACGAATCTGATTGTTGATCGGTCCGGGGAGGGGGAT